TCACTATCTCAACAAATTCGAATATGGTGACATGCCAATCAGCTAATCAACTCAAAACACCTGCAAAGGTTTCCTGAGCCTTCAAAATGGTCTCTCAGTTTGGTTCACTAGGCTACACAATCATGGGGAAGACTGCTGATCTGACAGTTGTCCAGAAGACAATCATTGACACCCTTCACAAGGAGGGTAAGCCACAAACATTCATTGCCAAAGAAGCTGGCTGTTCACAGAGTGCTGTATCCAATCATGTTAACAGAAAGTTGAGTGGAAGGAAAAAGTGTGGAAGAAAAAGATGCACAACCAACCGAGAGAACTGCAGCCTTATGAGGATTGTCAAGCAAAATCGATTCAAGAATTTGAGTGAACTTCACAAGGAATGGACTGAGGCTGGGGTCAAGGCATCAAGAGCCACCACACACAGACGTGTCAAGGAATTTGGCTACAGTTGTCGTATTCCTCTTGTTACGCCACTCCTGAACCACAGACAACATCAGAGGTGTCTTACCTGGGCTAAGGAGAAGAAGAACTGGTCTGTTGCCCAGTGGTCCAAAGTCCTCTTTTCAGATGAGAGCAAGTTTTGTATTTCATTTGGAAACCAAGGTCCTAGAGTCTGGAGGAAGGGTGGAGAAGCTCATAGCTCAAGTTGCTTGAAGTCCAGTGTTAAGTTTCCACAGTCTGTGATGATTTGGGGTGCAATGTCATCTGCTGGTGTTGGTCCATTGTGTTTTTTGAAAACCAACGTCACTGCACCCGTTTACCTAGAAATTTTGGAGCACTTCATGCTTCTTTCTGCTGACCAGCTTTTTGAAGATGCTGATTTCATATTCCAGCAGGATATGGCACCTGCCCACACTGCCAAAAGCACCAAAAGTTGGTTAAATGACCATGGTGTTGGTGTGATTCTCTTAAGAGAATCTATGGGGTATTGTCAAGAGGAAAATGAGAAACAAGAGACCAAAAAATGCAGATGAGCTGAAGGCCACTGTCAAAGAAACCTGGGCTTCCATACCACCTCAGCAGTGCCACAAACTGATCACCTCCATGCCACGCCGAATTGAGGCAGTAATTAAAGCAAAAGGAGCCCCTACCAAGTATTGAGTACATGTACAGTAAATTAACATACTTTCCAAAAGGCCAACAATTCACTAAAAATGTTTTTTTATTGGTCTTATGAAGTATTCTAATTTGTTGAGATTGGTGGGTTTTTGTTAAATGTGAGCCAAAATCATCACAATTAAAAGAACCAAAGACTTAAACTACTTCAGTCTGTGTGCATTGAATTTATTTAATACACAAGTTTCAACAAAAATGTGAGGGGTGTACTCACTTCTGTGAGATACTGTATATATTCTTATTATATTTATTTAAAATCTGTCTAAAGTTAACAGACAGTGTTTTAAAAGTGCATTCATGTGTAAACATGTTTACATATGTTTATAACAGTGACTTTGAATTACCTAAAGTAGTGTGGTAAAGCAACAGATTTGTTTTATAATTCTGCTTTAGTTTGTACGATTGTGCATCTCAGAGCAACAGTGTTTCATTCATGAATTAATCTGTTTTTGAATGAATCAAATGAGTCAATGATTCTATGATCCTTTGTTTCCTTTCTAAATGAATCAGCCATTTTGAATGAATCATTTGAAATAAATGATTCAATGAATGACTTATTAAGACAGAGACTTGCACCACCTATTTGCGTTTTTTTAGGGGCTGTTCACATCTCATCTAAACATGTTTGGAAAATGCCTGTTTGTTAAAAATAAATATATAGTTATTGTAATAAATGTTTTTCTGCTTACTAGTAACAGTCACATTGATTTTCACGCTCTGATTTTCTATGATTGCTTATGAATTACCCGTGACAACCTATGATTCATCATCACGTTTCTTGTAATATTATGATTTTTTTCCTCACAAAACATTTCTACTTTATTTGTGCAATATTACTCCTTTAATGCCCATTCACACCAAGAACAATAACTATAAAAATAGCTAACTATATTAGTATCCACAACAATATTGTTTTTGTTTATTATAAGTTTTGCACGATATGCAGTTTTGTAATTTCAAGCTTTCAATGCTAAAGCTCTTTAAAGCAAGATGGATTCTGATTGGCTGTCAATATTTTTATCACTCATCACCTGGAATTTTTTTTTTTTAAAGTTATTCCATTTATATTGTTCTGTGTCGTTATCACTTTAGTTGGGGTGTGGACTCTATTTTTTTAATTTAGAGAGATTTTTAAAAATATATCTTTATTGTTTATCTTCCATGGTGTTAGCTGACCTTTGGTTTCATAATTTAGTATATTTGTATTTCACAATACTCACTGTTTTGAAGCAGCTTCACTGAAATTCATAATGTTGCTGTTTAAAATGTATATTACTGCCTCAGTTCAGAGCGGGGCGATAAGATAGTTCACATTTGGTGAGGATGTAGGTTTTCTTTTTCACTTATACCATAAATAATTTATATTTTAACATGACACTAATTAAAATGAAAAACAATACAATCTAAAAGTAGATTAGTCGCATCATCTAAACTGTTCACACAGTGCATGATTATTGATCTACTCACCAGTGACAGTAACAATGAATCTCATGTATTCGGTTCTTACGTTTTTGCGGCTGATCTGTAGTTTGTAGAGTCCAGAGTGAATGGTCCTGATGTTATTGATGATGAGATCTCCAGTCTTCTCATTCAGCACCAGTTTGTTTCTGAATATCCCATCAGCAACATCACATTCTGTATAATTTTTTGGTCTTACTGGTCTTTTCTTGTGAATTCAAAGAGTTTGAGATCCTCAAACCACCACTTTATCTCATCCCCTTTCTGTAGTACAGTCTTAGTCTTTAGAATGACAGATCTCCCTTCCTCCTCTGACACCGTCTTTTCTTCAGATGTCACAGGAGCACATAGAAGCAGAGAACAGAAATGTGTTCATATGATCAAGCTTAACTTTACAAAGAGCACGTTTTAGCATGTTAATAGCATGTTGGTAACATGTTTTAACAAATTTCTAGCATTTTCAAACATGTTTTTACACGTTGCTAGCATATTTTAGAACATTGCTAGCATTCTTTAGGAAATTGGTAGCATATTGTAGAACTTTGTTTTACCTCATTGTTAGCATGTTAAAATGTCAGAAACTTTAGTCTCAGAAGTTGTTTCCGGGCATATCAGTATGCTGGCCTTTTCAAGCCCAAATAAAACTGGCAAAGAATTACACAATTGTGTCAGAAGTATTCAGGGAAATCAACTATAAAGTCTGCTAAAACGTTTCTCATCTAATTTACCATTTACCCTAAATTCTTGCACTGATTTCAGTCATTAGCGTGAGCAAACCCAGGTCTTAATGTTTTGTAAAACTGACAGTATATTTCCTCTCAGTCTTGGTTAATTAAATTATTGATTCTAAACATCATTATGCATTTAAACTCTACTATAGCATACTAAAACTAATTGTTTTTGTATTGCTTGTATCAGCTGTAATACTTACCCACTTGTTTTTGTAGTTTAGAAATCCTGCGGTGATAGTAAATCACAACAGCAGCTAAAAGTGCAGCCACCAGCAGAACAGCAACAACTATTCCAACTGTGACATCTGTAGATGGACCCGGATCAGGAACAGCTAAAAGGAGACTGAATGATTACAGGACAAAATATTTATCATGATTCAGAACTGATAGGTGTCAGTCAGTTGACATGTATAGATAATTTGTAGTGTGACACAGGCCAAAACATGGTTTTACACTGTTAACATGCAGTGGTGACTGTATTTTTCTTATTAGTTTACCGTTGCCGTTGGGTTTGCTGTGGTAGTCTGTGTTACACAGTGTACGTCCAATTACATTACTTGCACACGAGCTTCAAAACCAAAAGTAAAAAGCGAGCGTGCATATTGCACATACTGATAGCAGCTGCCTGGTGCGCGGAAATTATCCAAGTTTTTCCCTAGAGTCTACTGCGTTTGAGATTATATGAGACACTCGGTTAGGGGAAGTTCTGCTTTTCGATTTTTACCTAGGAGGACCCCCGTATCAGGATTGTGCCCTCGTACCGCTATTCCTCTTCTGCCCCTCCGGAGGTCCATGCATGCCACTAGCCATATCCTAAAATAATTTTTTTGTATCTATAGCCATTTTAATAGTGTAACTGACATAGAAGTCAGCTTAAATTTCATACATTATATTCAATTATTTTCAAATATTTTAAGCTAAAAACCTTTCATTTGAAACTTACCACTGACAGAAACAAGGAATTGCTGTGAGCTCTCTTGGCCTCTGATCTGTACTTCATAAAGTCCTGTGTGTTCTGGCATTTTTGATGGTCAAAGATCCAGTCTGATTTAGTTGTAGTCTGTTCCTAAATCGCTCATCATCAACGTTTATTGAGGCCTCGTTCGTTTCTACATCAATATTAGCCAGGAGGACACCTTTATCTCCAAACCTCCATACTATCAGATCATTCTCCTCTAATTCAGTAACATCATTCTGAAGAGTGACAGAATCTCCCTCCATCACTGATACTGACTTCACTCCACCCGTCTCACCAACCACACCTGGAAAACAAAACCGACAAGAACTGATTTGGCAGACTCATTTGGCTGATCTTCAGCAAACTGAGCTGGTTGCTAAAACCACGCCCACCTAGCTCGACGGTGGTGACAGCAGGGGCAATCCACCTGTCACTCAAGTGGCCACGTCCTTAATTATGCAGAACTTTAAGGCTTAATATAATTTAAACGGATGAGTTATAAAAAAATCACCCCCCTCACAGTTGTCAAGAAGGGCAAAATTAGCTATATAGACCAAAATAAGTTTTTGAACCAGGCTGTAAACATTTTTTTCTGCTGTAAAGTCGGGCCTTTTAAAGGGGTCATATGATGCGATTTCAAGTTTTCCTTTCTCTTTGGAGTGTTACAAGCTGATTGTGCATAGATAAGATCCCTGAAGTTGCAAAGACTAAAGTCTCAAAACCAAAGAGATATTCTTTATAAAAGTTAAGACTCTGCCATGCCCCCCTAAAACGGCTCGTTCTATCTGACTTTAAACAAATCTTTAATTACATACATAATATGAACGTGATTTTGCGCAACTCGTCAGTGAACAACGGCTCTGTGTAGTTAATGCTGCTCAATGTGAAAGCCCGCAGGTGATGGAGATTTACCGCTGATTACAGAACCGTCTTTACTGACAAGATGCGCATTAAATATCGTATGTGATTTATCGTGCAGCCCTAATCTCAATAAAATACAATTAAACATAAATTTGCAAAAGAACCATCAATGTCAGTTTCACACAAACACTTGTTCACCCCCCAAGTATAGTTAAAAGTCTCGATATCTTTAACCAATTGATAATAAGCATATTCCACCTTTAACCTTGATTTTATTAAACCCTTTAAAATTGAAACTTCATCAGTTGACCCCATACCATTTAATTTACCTTTATGTGATAGCCAGATTGCCTGCCAGATTTGCCTGCCCAAACAAAAAATTAATCATCACGTGGTTCTGCTTTTTATTTTTGTTATATTTAGGACCATAAATAAAAATTGCAGGTGAAAAAATTTATCTTAAAATTCTACACCATTCTTCTAATTGAGACAGCAAAGCTTCAAGTCTACCACAGTAAAAAAATAGATGAAAAACAGTTTCTGTTTGCCCACAGAAAGGACACTCCTCCCCTACCTGTGGATCAAGGTGTGCTCTGTATCTGTTTGTAGCTATTAAACCATGCACAATTCTCCACTGAAGGTCCCCAGACCTTTTCTCAGTGGGAGCCTTATACAAGGTCCTCCAGCTACCTTTAGAGGAAGTCTCTGATCCAAAAACCTCTTGCCATTTAGATTATTTTAGTCCCTTTAAAGAGTTTATATGGGAAACTTTGACACATATGACATACAGTGCTTTTTTCCCAGTTTCACTGAAAAGTCCTAGTTCAGGAGTTCTGCAGTTGAGCAAAAGTCCTTCCCTCTCTTGAAAAGCATCAACAGTTTCCACAATCAACACAATTTTTAACTCTGGGAAAAAGACATCCCTATCTTCGTTTGTTTCCAAACCATTTTTTAAATTCATAGGTAAACATTTAAGAAGATCATTCAACAGTTTCTGTGTCAAGCTAATTGACCTCACACCCAGCTTGGCAGCCAGCATCTCAGCAGACATCCATTCATTTGTTGTTATTAAATGTCCAATCTTTGTAATTCCAGCATTCCTTAAAGCAGTCCTCATTGACACTGACTTTAAAATGTCCAAATCCACAACGGGATTGTGCAAGAGAGGTTCTTCTCTCATCCAAGGGCCTTGCACATCTTTGAGGTTTCTTGATTTACTTAAAATTTCCCAGGCTTTCAACATTGAACGATAAAAAGGTGTCAGTCCAGACAAATCAAGACTTTTAGTGTCCATAAGGAATAGGTGCCGGTCAAGCCCCATACTGCCCGCTTTTCTTAGAAGAGAACAAGCTACTCCAGCCCAGCTTACATCTTTTCCATAAAGTAGCCTTTTTGCTGTCTGTAGCCTAAAAGTTTTTATTCTGCTATTAATGTCCACCAGTCCATGGCCTCCTTCTTGTCTGGGCAGGTATAACACCGATGCTTTTAGCCAATGCTGACCAGACCAGAAAACATTCACTAGATGCTTTTGAACATTTTCCACCAGTTCCTTGGGAGGTTCTAAAACAGTCATTTTGTGCCACAAGGATGAGGCTACCAGATTGTTACATACTAAAACTCTTCCCCTGTACGTTAGCTGGGGGAGCAGCCAATGCCAACGAGACAACCGAGCACTCACCTTGTCCACAAGACCCTCCCAATTAAGCCTCTTATATTCTTCTTTTCCTAAAAAAACCCCCAGATACTTTAGCCCAGAACTTCCCCACTTTAGTCTACCTGGGAGTCTCGGACTACTAGAATCAGAACCACACCATAGGGCATCACTTTTATCCCAATTTACTTTGACAGTTGAAGCTTTCCCATAACTCTTCAAAATATCTGTTAAAACTTGAACATCATTTTAATTTCTTAAAATTACAGTGATATCATCAGCATATGCTGAGATTTTTACATAGTCATTACAATTTGGACCATTTATCTGTAACCCCATTAACTTTTCTCTCAATTTACAAAGGAAAGGCTCAATAGAAGCTGACCTGAGAGTGGGCATCCCGGTCGTATGCCCCTCTATACTTTAACAGGAACACTCAGTCCACCTGCCATTTTAATCATGCATGTGGCATCATTGTACAACAATTTTATCATTGCAACAAAATTATCTCCAAAACCAAAAGCCTTCAAAGCTCTATAAAGTAACTGATGATCAACTTGATCAAAAGCCTTTTCCTGATCTAAAGATAGAATTCCCATATCAATATTGTTTTTAAGGCATAATCAATAACATCACGTACTAAATGCAAATGATCACTGATACATCTATGCTTTATACAATAGGATTGGTCTTTGTGTATAATTGTGTGCAACACTTTATTTAGCCTATTAGCCAAACACTTTGCTATTAGTTTATACTCGGAACACAGAATAGCAACTGGTCTCCAATTCTTTATTAACGTAAGGTCACCTTTCTTGGGAAGTAGTGTTAAAACTGCTCTTTGACAAATTTTAGGAAGAAAACCCACATGAAAAACTTATTGTAGAACTCCATAAAGATCAGTTCCAATTAAGGTCCAGAAGTGCTTATAGAACTCACCAGGAAGTCCATCTATACCTGGAGTACGACCTGAGGCAAGTCCTGATACTGCAGCACTTAATTCACCAAAGGTAATTGCCGAGTCCAAAGTTTGTTTATCCTCAGTGGTTAAACGAAAATATTTTGCAATAGTTCATTTTGGCTCTTCTCATCCGTGTTCTCAGTCGAATATAACTTAGAATAAAAGTCTACTACCAGTCTGTGCATTTCTATAGGATCACTTGTGTAATGACCATGACTATTTTACAAGCTGTACATCTTTTTTTCTTGTACACTTTTGTGCTCCAAGTTAAAAAAGAATGAGGTAGGACCATCCATATATTTTACTGATAAAAACCTACTTCTCACAAGAGCACCTTTGACTTTCTCATTTAGAATGGAACTCAACTTTGACTTTTTGTCAGACCACTCTTGTAAATTAACAGAAGATTCTCTCATCATGTTCCCTTCAATGATTAGAATTTCTTTTTCAAGACACTCCAAAGTCTGTTTTAAACACAAAGTTGAGTAATACTTATATTGTTGACAAAATTCCCTTATATGTGTTTTACCAATTTCCCACCAAAGAATTACATTTTCATATCGAGTTTTTTCACTTTTCCATGTCTCCCAAAAATATCCAAAGGATTCACAAAAACTTCTATCTTGCAACAACTTTATATTAAAATGCCAATAAGCATTCTTATTTCTTCTAGATATCAATGTGCAGTCAACAGTAATAAGCTTGTGATCAGAAAAATGTGTGGGGATAATAGCTGTATGTATAACTCTGTTTTTCATATTGTTTGATACATACAATCTATCTAAACGTGCAGCTGAAATTCTCCCCTCATTTACCTTTACCCAAGTAAATTGTTTTACCAAGACATTATTTTCTCTCCAAATATCCGTAAAATTTAAAGATCCAATAATATTAGTTAAAACAGCAGATGAGTTGAAATTTGGTTCCTCTCCATTCCTATCAAAAGAAGGATCAAGTGTACAGTTCCAATCCCCTCCTAAAATGATCAAATCATCTGACTGTTCTTGTTTTAAAAAAGACTTCAATTTATTAGAAGTATTTATCCAACCAAAACCATTATTTGGTGCATAGATATTAACAAAAACAACAAAATGACCATTAATTTCAACTCTACAGAAAAGGAAACAGACAAGAAACAAAGCATTTTAACCATAGTGAGTAGTTGCCCCCCCCAGTTATACTTTGTCTGATTGCAGTAATGTGTTTCTTTAGTCTAAAGCGTTTCTGCTGTGATAACTCTTCATGACTACTATGCCTCCTTGCCCACATAACAGATGCTATAAACTTGTCCAAATCTGGAAAAAAATCACTCACTTCAACTTTTTTCCCTTGGTTTCATCAAGAAATTAATTGATTTGCACTACAGTATACAAGTCTTCTTTCATCACCTTTGAAATCTCTGCTCCTTCAGACCATTGTTCATCATCTTTCATACTATCATCAGTATACTGAGACATTCCATCCAACTCATCTACTGAGCCTTCCTCTAATGCTTGTGCATCTGTCTGAGTCACA